ATCGTATCGTGCCGTGCCGTGCCGTGTCGTCGTAGGAGCGCAATTTCGCCCGCTGGGCGCGATTCATCGGTACGATACTCATCGTATCTCGACTACCCCGTTCACGAAGAAAAAGCGACCGGGAATCCTCGAAGCGTTTAAATCGTGGGCTACCCGTGCATGGGTTCACAACGGTTCTGAACGTCAGTTAGCATTAACGAGGAACCAAATCGGAGTCGCCGACTTCGTCATCATGCCGTCGGTTGCGGCCACGATGACGGGGTGACGACGATCACGAAATACTCTGGATAGAAAGACGACATATTCTCCCGTTGCTGATATGGGGCCACTGACCGAGAGCTTGGTCTTGGTCCATGGGCCCTTCCTAGTTCGAAAATAAATAAAAGTCTAAGGGATTCTATATAAAGAAATCGTATACGACGCAGACGACGACGTCATTTTTTAAGGTAAACGATTGGGCTCAGGATGGCCTCGACCTCCAGCAGCACGTCGCCTGACGTCCAGGTGTTGATGGGCAAGGGCAAGCGTGGGGCAGCGGCCTACATCAGCCTGGCTACTGGTCGGGATACTGGTGGCTCCCCGCCGTATCTCAATGAGCTGCTGGATGTTTTGTTGAATCCTAGCAAACCTATTGATGACTGGGAAACCATTGACTGGTGCAAGTGGCTCATGGCTGGTGGCCGGACACCCGATGAGTTTGCCAATACAGGTAGATATTTGCAATAACAGATATAACCTTGCAACTGTGGGATGTATGGCTCATGATGAAATTAATAAAGCTGTGTCGAAAGCATTATATTGAAAAAAAATTGATATGAATTTTGAAGCAATTCATATAAAAGATGTAATCTAGAGATATGTTAATATAGTTTATAAAAAAACTAGTAGGAACTGTACTATTTATATAAACTTTCCTAACTATATTATTTATTGTCTTTACTGTTATGTTTATTGTCTTATCTATGAAGGATAAACATTAACAGAGTTAGCAGAAAGATTGTTTTTACAATAAACGCTTACTTGCAACTTATAATGAGTTACTAATATTTTATGAAAAATCTCAATTCTCTAAGAAAATCTATAAATTTTGTTACAATTAAAAGCAAATATAATTCTATTTGAATATAATTCTTTTCTTTTTAGTATTCTATTTGATATTTATAAATAGCATCAGGATGTAAAATTTAACAAAATAAAATTGATTTGACAAATAACAATTTAGCAGTAATTATTTATAAATATTGTTGCAATTATAGATTTAATTTACTATACAGAATATGTATATAATGTTCAGAAAAATATAAACAAGTTTACATAACGTCTTAAATAACTGGAAAAATGAAAGTAGTATAAGAGATTAATGATGTTCATTAAGTTCGTTGTTTTCATAATTCCTTAGATAAGTCTGGAAATAAACAAATGTCATTTTATGTAAATTTACTGTTTAGTTTATTCAGTAAAATGTATAATCAGTTATTATAAGCAGTAATGAAGATATTGGAAACAAAGATCAAATATTCAAATAAATAACAAGAAAAAAATTAAAAGAGCGAGATATAAACAGATATAAAAAAATTAAAAGAGCGAGATATAAACAACATCTAAAGGTCAGATATTTCAAAGTCAGCAATTCTTCTAAGGAATAATAAAAGAGTCAGATTTCATCTGAAAAGAATCAGATTATATTAATAAATTATTGATCTTTAAACATCTTAAAAAAAATTCATAAAAAATCCATAAACAAAAATTTATAGAAATTTTTATTGTTTATTCATTATTTTAGCATTACATAAATTTGCTCTCATTTGTTTTTGTTTTATATTTAAACATGATTAAACAAAAATAACTCATATAATGCTTGTTAGAAATACTAACATTTTATCTAAAATGTAAAATTTACATGCATAATATTTTAATATTAAAATTTGATTTACTAATAAAATTAATTTTACAGTTAAACAATGTGTCTTGATAAAATTATATAAATGTTTAAAAGAAATACTATTTGGCATTGTTATAAATACTTAAATTCTTTCTTCCGATGTAACATTTATTTTGCTTTGATTGTTTCATTTGCACTATTAGTTTTATAAACTATATACGCAGATATAAATATACAGAATTTGCGTATTTGGCAACGTTAATTTTTCAGATAAACATATAGTCATGAGAAGACAAGTATAGAATTGCAGTTATAGTCGATGACGTTAGTTTAACTTGTGTTACAATTACACTGTTTCAAACATTATATAAGAGTAACTTTGTACACATCAAACATTTTTTAAATAAATGTACTTACGAAAAGTGATAGATAATCTTTATGTTTACATGAAATGTAAACATAACTATAACTATAACTATATGTCAATTTTAACGTTACCTATAGTATTTTTTATTATTCATATTTTATATGATTCCACCATTAGGCATTTAATTATACTTTAACATGTTCTGAAAGTAAAATTTTATCTTTTTACTTTTTTTTCTATATTATTTTTTAATAGTTTATCAATAATATTTTATAATAAAACAAAATCATTTATTAATCCAATAGTAATTACAAATACATACATTTACATCTAAAATGAATTTTGCAGAAGTAAGCATCTAAGACCATTTTACTAATGTTCTTATTCTGTTTCAGTACGCACTTATGATAATGCTACCACCTGTGGTTTGGTATGGACACCAAATTTTGTAGCATATCGCTGTCGTACATGTGGTATATCTCCCTGTATGTCTTTGTGCACCGAGTGTTTTAAGAAGGGAAATCACCATCATCATGACTTCAACATGTTTCTCAGCCAAGCAGGTGGTGCATGTGACTGTGGAGATACATCTGTGATGAAGGAAGCTGGGTAAAACAATCAAGAAATATGTTGTATACAATAATGGAAATTTGGGGGATATACTAAAATTATGATTTTTTTAAAAACAAGTTAATTTTATTTAAAAATTACTAATTCTCTTCCCTTTTTTTATATGATATATTTTAGAAGTATAATTTTTCTCAGCAAGGCATTTTAATATATTCCCGCACATTTCTTTATGAGATTCATCAAACACATTCTTGAATTATTTTTCTTTATGAATTATTGACTTATTTTTTGTTTTACAGATTTTGTGATAGGCATGGGCCAAACGCTGCTGTAAATAAATCAGTTGCACCATCTGATTTAATGTGTGTAGCCGAGGCAATGATGCCCAGAATTATTCTACGACTTATACAACATTTACGTGAAAATAGGTACGTTGAGAATTATATTTTTGCGGAAGTTGTTACCGACTTTTTGAGTGATAAATCTACGATTGAAAAATATATTTTTTTGTTATACTTTAAACGTCTGAACTATCAGAATTTAAAGGAAATGTATTTTACCTTATTGTCATATAATTGATATTCTTACAAGTACATATACTTTAAAATTACGCAACTCATTTTAGAAATGAAATGTTTTCCAATTTGTATTTATTGAGAATTCTTTTTAATTCTCAGATTTCTTATTTATAAATTTATATTTGAATTATTATTAAAGATTTTTGAAAGGAAATTATATGTTAATAATGATATTATTGTTATTATTGTTATTATTTGTATATTTTAGTTTAATGCCAGTTTATACAACTGCTATACATGACACGGATGCATATCTGACCATGTTGCTTGATTTAAACAATATGGGTGCATTAATGAGGCATGTTATGACATCAGCCCTCACGAATCCGCAAAAATACCGAGGACTTATGGATCCCTCTGTTTTAACGGGACAATCCGAGTACGATAATTATTGTCAAGATAGCAATAAAATATATCAGTATGCTGTGAAATCATTACCGAATCCAGAACCTCCAGATGAATATAAAGGTAAGTAACAGAGTTCAGACATTAAAAGAAATAAGGAATAAAAAATGAAGGAAATATGAGGAATTAGGAAAAAAGATTAAATTTTGATGGAAATCATACTTCAATATACAATTAAAAAATACCGAAATGTTTTTTTATTAGTCAAAAATAACTTTTTTGTTGTTAATTCTTTAATTCCTTATTTTTTATTCCCATTTATTTTACCTTGAATAAATGTATAATTTATATATAAACATTTCATGATAATCTGGTTAATATCAATAATAGTAATCTTCATAATAAATAAGCACACATAAGCATACTTGATAGTAATAACACTTATATGATTTATTTTGTTATAGAATGCGTGTCGCTTCAAGAACATTTGGAGCATACCACATTCTTAGAAGAGTTGATGTTTTGGACCGTTGCTTACGAATTTCCACAAAAATTGGTTTGCCTGCTTTTAAATATGTTGCCAGATCCCGATTATAAGGAAGCTTTAACTCGCGCCTTTGTATTACATTATAGTAGGATCTCAATGATGCTTGAACGTTCCACAGATCCTGATACATTAAGCAATAGGGTTGTACACGTTAGCGTACAGGTATTTATTTTATTAATTAATTTATAATATGACATATATATATATATATATATATATATATATATATAATAATATATGACATTACTTAATTAATCTATAATATGACAAATACTAGTAATCTTCATTCCAGTTCTTTATAATACATTAATCCAATTTTTATATGCTTTTCAGCTATTTAGTAACGAGAAGCTAGCATTAAGAATGGTTGATCAATTGAAGTTGTTACATGTTATGGTTATTAGTTTGAAATACATGATGAGCAAAATACTGATTCAAAATACTTTGCACGGTATATATGAATACTTTTTTTTTAAATAAAAATAGAATGCAAATTCAAACAAAGCAATAATGTTAAAAGATTTATTTTCATTTATGTTTTAGATCCGGATAAAAACTTCCACTATGTCGTGGATTGCGGACGTCAAGTGATGAAAGAGCACTGTTATTGGCCATTGGTTTCTGATTTGAACAATGTACTTTCACATAAACCAGTGGCTGTTAGATTTATGAGCGATAATACTCTCTTAGAAATGTGGTTTGATTTCCTGTCCATGTTTCAAGGCATGAATGTCAACCAAAGGGAGTTAAGCCAACATGTCGAGTTTGAACCTAACACATATTACGCGGCATTTAGTGCTGAGCTGGAAGCTAGTGCATATCCAATGTGGGCTCTGGTTTCGCATCTTCGCGGATCTGAAAGTGCGACGTTAAGTCGACGCGTGCTTACTTTTTGCCTCACAGCTTTGCAAGATTGGCTTGACGCTGTGAACTACACGCATCCGAATGTGGTGAGTGAACTCTCATACTGTGATATATCATAATGCATTTATCATTTATACATTTCAATTGTTGTCTTTCTTCAGAGTGATAGTTTGCAAGTGTCATTTCATCTGCCCCTTCATCGATATCTCGCGGTATTCATGTGTCAGGCGATTAGACAACAGGGAGCGACTTTGCGCGAATTATTGCCACCCACAGATATGCTACATCTTCTCATGATGCATCCACTGCGAGTACAGGTAAGTATTCATTTTTCCCCCATTTTTTGTTTCAATTACTTCTTCGTAGATCCACAATTTTAATTTGTCTGAAATCAATTTTTCAAATTTTTATAAAATTTTTAATTCAAGTTTGTAAATATAACTCTCCTTATAAGTCTTTTACACTAATAGATGAATTATTTTATTTTTTATAAGGAGTCTTATTTATACAGATTATTTAAATAATTAAATTAACAAAAATATAGTTGAAATATTTTGATCCATGAAGGATTAATGATTCGAGATGACTGGGAGAATGTTTATTTTTAATTAATAATGTCTGTGATATAATTACTCGTAAACACTCAGCATAGATATAGGTATAAACTTTGTGTTGTTATAAGAATTTATTTTAAAATGCAATTTATAATCAAGTAGAGAGGAATCAAAAAGAAAATTGATCAAGTACAATATAATAATATTATATAAAAATATTATAAACTCAGTAATGAAATTCTAAATAACATTTGTTATGACATTATAAATTAAATCTAAAAAAACAGTTTACAATATTATTTTATATAAAATCGCAATATGATAAAAAAATCGCGCGATACTGTCTTTTAATCTTAGTCCTAAATCTATAATGAAATGTTTCTTACATTATAATTTTTTAGAATCTTAGATCTGATATATGTTAATGGTAACTAAATCGAGTATTAAAAAATGCAATAACGAAATTTACTATCGCAATACATATTTACGTATTCTCATATTAAGTTTTAGAAACTTAGTACGAGATTCGTAAAATATCTTGGAAAAAGTTCAACTACTTAA